GTCACTTAACCCCACTGCCTAGCCAAAAAAAAAAAAAAAAAATCAACCCAAAAAAAACCCCCAGACTTTCCACAAAAAACCCACACCTTATCCATACATCCTCAATAGCTATTATTCTATATCTTTCTCACTCATGGATAAACTTGAGAAAACCATCTACAATCAGTGCCTCTACTTTCTTCATTCTCCTCTTAACTCTGTAATTTGGCTTCCATTCTCATCATTCAACTAAAACTGCTCTCTCCAAAGTCACCAGTAATCTCTTAACTGCCAAATCTAATGGCCTTTTCTCAATCCTCATCGTATTTGATCTCTCTGGAACCTTTAATGCTGCTAATAACCTTCTCCTGGATATTCTCCTCTCTCTAGGTTTTGGTGGCAGTACTCTATTTCTTTCTATCCTAGGCCCTATTCTTATCTTCTATGCTACTTTGCTTGGTGAAATAATTAGCTTTTGACATCTCAACCTGGCTATCACATACACATCTTACACTCAACATCTCCAAAACAATTCATTATCTTTTCCTCAAAATCCTCCTCTCTTCCTAACTTCCCTATTACTGTCAAGGGTACTACCACTGTCTCAGTCACCTCGGCTTGTCAACTAGGTGTCATCTTCCACTTTCACCCTCCCTCCCCATCCTATCTGCTGCCAAGTTCTATGGATTCTACCTTCTTAACATCTCTGGTAAATGCTACCCGCTGTCTTCTGACAATGACTCCACCCTGAAGGCCAAGTCCAGGGGTGGGAAACCTTGAGGTGCCATGTGGCCCTCTAGGTCCTCAAGCATGGCCCTTTGACTGAATCCAAACTTCACTGAACAAATCCCCTTAATAAAAGGATATGTTGTGTGAAACTTGGAGTTGGGTCAAAGATTCACCCAAGGACCTAGAAGGCCACATGCGGCCTTGAGGCCCAAGGTTCCCCACCCCTGGTCCAGCCCTTCATGACTTCACATCTGAACTATTACAATAGTCTGTTGGTTGGTCTCTGCCCACTCCACTATCAAATCTGACCCTTTCACTGCCCCTATTCAACAAACTCAAGTGACTTCCTATTATTTCCAGGATTAACTACAAAAGCCTCATTTTGACTTTTAAAGCTCTTCATAATCTGGTCCTTTCTTACCTTTCCAGTCTTTTTATAATTTATTCTTCTCCATAAGCTCTACAATCCAGCGACACTGGTCTCTTTGCTGTTATTCACAAAAGACACCCCAGCTTGAGATTCTATTTTCACTGGCTGTCTCCCCCATACCTGGGAGGCTCTTCCAATTTGTTTCTACCTCTTGGCTTCCTTCAAGTCTCAGTTAAAATCTCACTTTCTGCAAGAAGCATTTCCTGGTCTCCCTTGAAGCTAGTGCCTTCCCCTGAGATTTTCTCCAGTTTATCCTATGTACAGCTTATTCGTTCATAATTATTTGCATACTGTCCTCCCCATCAGATTGTAAGCTCCTTGAGGGCAGGAACTATTTTTTGCCTTTCTTAATACCCAGAACTTAGCACAGTACCTGGCACATAGTAAATGCTTAATAAATGCTTGCTGACTTAACTTTATTAGGGAAGGAAACAAAATGCTGGCTGAAAGAGTTTCCAGGCTTTTTTGATCTCAAAGTGGTTACTGATTTACGTAATTTATTAGAAAATAGGAATAGCCTGTATCAGTGGCTGTTATTTCCCACTTTCTGTTTCTGATGTCATTTCCCATTTTGAGGGGTTAAAAGTTCATTTAAAAAGGACTGACAAGGGCAGTAAGGTGGCGCAGTGGATAGAGCACTACTGGCCTTGGAGTACAGAGGACCTGAGTTCAAATCCGGCCTTAGACACATAACACTCACCAGCCTGTGACTCTGGGCAAATCACTTAACCCCAATTGCCTCACCCCCCCCCCAAAAAAAAGACAAACAAAAAGGGCTGACAAGAGTTGCCTTAATTACATACCACCTCTAATTTTTTTTACTCTTCTAATTTGGTGTTAATTTTGCACACAGAAAGCCAAGTCAGAAATGATTTCCATGCTGGTAACCATTTGTTTCCATATTATCTATTTCTTTTTTTTTTTTTTTAATACCAGTCAGTGTTCACCAAGTCCAACACTTTTTTTTGACTCTTTTTGAACAAAGTATTCATGAAATGTGAAGAGGCTTCTGGTGTAATCTGTAAGATTTTGGTCTCCTTCTTTCTTTATTCCTAAACCATGTTATCCAACATATTTTTGCCAAACTCCACCATATTTCAGCCCATTGTCCACTAAATTGTTAAACTGATCTTCCTAAAGCACAAGTCTGACCATGTTATTCCCTTTTCAATAAACTCCAAGGATCTCTTACTACCTGCAGGATAAAATATAAAATTCTTTGTTTGGCCTTCAAAGATCTTTCTAACTTGGCCTTTCCAGTCTCCTTATACCTCACTTCCCTCCACATACTCTTGTGATCCAGCGACACTGGCCTCATGGCTGGGTCTTGAACGCCACACTCCATCTCCCAACTCTGGGAACTTTCACTGGCTGTCCCCCATGCCTGGAGCTCTTTCCATCCTCATCTCTACCTCTTGGCTTCTTTCAAATCTCAGCTAAAGTCTCACTTTCTCCAAGAAGCCTGTCTCACTCCTAAGTCCCTGAGACTATCCCCAATTTAAACCGTACGCATCTTGTTTGTATATAGTTCTTTGTACATATGTTGTTTCCCCTAGTAGACCGTGAGCCCCTTGAGAGGCTTTATACCCACTGCTTAGCCAGCACCTGGCACATAGTATTGCACAATAAATGCTTGCTGACTTGACTGAACTTTACATTGAAGTCAGCCAGTGCTAGAGTGTACATTGACTTAATTGGAGGACCTGAATTGGTTCTTTGTAGAATTTCTCCACCTCCTCATCTTCTGCAACTGATGTTAGCACCTCAGCTACAATTACATTATTATTCATGATGATCTTTTTATTAATTCTAACCAGGGTCACTGTAATACAAAATGACCAAATATCCCATGAAATTATTTTTTGTTGCCTTTAGACATACCATAAAACTGATTCCTTCAGCTCTTTTATTTGATCCTCAAAGAGCCTGTAAGCTATTCTGTGCAACTTCCTTTTGACTTTCGGTTTTATTTATAGTGAGAATGAGAAGATTAATACAATTCAGTTTTTCCAGGAGCACATTCACTCACCGGTCACTGGACATGTGTCTCACAATCATGGAATCAGTTAAATTAATGCTTACAGAGAGTCTAAAAACGATGATGCTGAACACCCTCTTTCTTGCTCCTTTTTTGCTACTCCACCACTGCTGCTGCAGAAATAGTAGGAGACCATAGAAGCCTGAGAACCACTTTGTATTTTCCTTTGCTTCATCAACTGCAGTAGGCAAAGAATTCATCAGTGACAAGTCTCTCTTGACTTAGCTAAACTGGTTTCTTACACTGTTCCCCCTTCCCCCCCCCCCCCCCCCCCCGACAAATACAAGGAATATGCTTAAAAGCATGTATGATCAGGAAAAGAGAGGGTTCGGGTGTGAGGGACAGCTCCAATGCTGCACTGGTAATAAGGAAATATTAAGAGAATCAGATGAACTCCTCCACTGCATTGGGTCAACCCCACAGAGGATTTATGAACAACATTCACACAAGACTAGGAGTGGATAGGCTGTGATCAGTACCAAAGGAGAATGTAAGAGATGGTATATGGTTGTGTGTGTTATTTTTGTATGATAAAATAAAAGAAAAATGTAAAGAAAAGTACCACAGAGGGAAAATATTTGTGACAAACCTAACTGATCAAGTTTGCTATCCAAAACACATGTAGCACTGGTACAATTACATAAGGTCAGTACTTAGATTCCACTGGTCAAGCAAAGGAAATGAGCCAACAATTTACATAGGAATAAATGTCCTTAGAAAAATGTTCAGCCTCATTAACGTTTAAAGAAACGCAAATTATCACAACAATATGGCACTGTAATTAAGATGGCAAAAACAAATCAAAACCCAAAGTTGGCAGGATTCATGGAAATGGATACTCTTATTCATTGTTGGTACCACAGCAAATTTGTTTAGTCTTCCTGGAGAACCATTTGGCAATATGTAATGAGTTTTCTGCTTATTCTCTTTAACTGGGTAAATTAAATTTGGGGCAAATAACCCAAAAGAAGCAAAAATGAATTTGTTCAAATGTTCATATCTAATTTCTAAAATTAGATTTCTAATTTTCTAATTAAATTCCTAAAAATTTCTAAATTCTATTTCTAAAAAATTTAGGAACTCAAGTGCCCAACATTAGAAGAATGGCCAAGCAAACAACAGTATAAACAAAATATAATACTATATATGAAGTATGTGAACTATGCTTATACATCAATAAATGTATATGAAAGTATTAAGTGAATAATACACATATAAAATGATCATAACTTCATAAGATGCATATATATGCATATTATGTAAAATCATAAGAGAATTTGGAATGTCAAGAGATTAATTTCATTATATTCTTTTTTTTGCTTCATCACAATTTTTAAAAATAATGAATAATAATAATGAGTGAGAAATAAAATCTCTTTTCATGTCACTGATTTTCCCTGGGTTCTGTTAATCTACTTTAGCTTTTAGTTTAGTTTTTTTCTTAAACAAGGGTTAGACTATATAATTTTTAAGGTTTCTTCCTGTTCTAACAGTCTATAATTCTATGATATTTATTTTAAGGATGAGGAAATAAAGGCCCAAAGAGGTTAGCCAACTTATCCAAGGTCAAAAACAGAGTGACCCAAGTCTCCTGACTCCTGATATAGTGATCTTTTCACTGTATCAACGAAGAAAATTAGGTGAGAACCCCTAGTGCCTCTGCTAACTTCCTACCTAGGTTTCACTTGGCTGAGATCCTTGTATTTCTTCATGTATTTCAAAAAGCAAATGGTATTGTGGGACTCACAACAGGACTGGAGTCCCAACAACAACCCAGGACAAATTGGAAAGGGGTCACTGGCTGTACCCTGAATGAATGCTTACCCAGTCTGTGGCAGGGATGACACAAGGTATGTCAGTCTGAGAGAGGAACAGAGGCCGCGGAGAAAGAACCTGTAGATCAGGGAGAAAGGATTCAAGTTGAAATGCTACAGGCTACGGTTTTTACTGATATTAAATCAACCCTAAAGAAAGCTGTGGCACGTGCAAGAGGCTTTCCATGGCATAGATACAGGCCCAGGTGCAGTCCCCTAAAAGCCAGACTCATTGCAAAAGACACCAAGACAGAATTTCAACATAAGACACTGGATATGAAAACAGCCTATTAGCTCACCAGGAGCATACCGCTGTGGGACCTGGTGAGGGGCAGCAACTAACAGTTGCAAGTGATGCAACTCTATCTGCCAGTTTAATGAACCAAATACCAGGAGGCATTAATCTGTGAGCCCATGAACACACAACAAAGCTCCTAGAATACAGTCTCTTTCCCTGATCATAAACAATGTGGCCAGAAACATATCTACGCCATTCAGAGAGACTAGAATGGAACATAAATACAGAAGAGACAAAACACTGATAATGCTGTGCCTCCCAAAAGCAACAGACTCCCCAGCAATGTACCCTGAACAAAAAGGACATTTAACCTACTTCTTTTCCCCAAGATTTCATACTACAGAGGTTTAGAGCTTGTTTGAGGACAAGAAATTAACAGGAAAGAATATCTAATAAAGCGGAAGAAAGGAAAGACTAACTGGGGCAGCACGTGCAAACAAGGACCTCTCCTGCTAACTGACAGAACTGCCCATCATGAACTGATGATGCTTCCTCAAAGTTAAGGTGGGCCTTGGACATCAAGTAAAGTCTAACTGTCAGGGTGACTCAGGTCCAAGTCCAACGAGCATCCCTTCCCCCAGAATGCAGGGATACTGAGGACAAATGGAAGGGCAGAACTCTCAACCGGCTACTTTGAGTCCGGGTGGCACCATTTCAAAAAGCTTCCTCTGCTAGTCTTAGTATTTCTCAGGAGACAAACAAGTGGGAGCCACTTCCCTCCTCCCACTCTGCAGGGAGCAGCGCAAGGTTAGACATTCTCTTAACGAACACTTTTGGCTGAGAGTAGGAAATAGATTCAGAGACACTTAATTCGACCAGATTTTACTGGAGACAAGTGCTGATGTGCAGAGAAGTCTAGGACCAGGTCCCTGCCCTAAAGCTTACAGTCTGGTTGGGCAAACTGAATAAGATGTACAAAAAAGAGCACACTGACAATAAAATTGGTACAGTGGAAAGAGAATCAGTTTTGGTATTAAAAGACCTGGGTTTTAAGCTCTGGATCATCACTTGCTAGCCTGTGTTAATCTTGAGACTTAGGGCTAAAAAGGACCTTAACTATGCTCTAGTCTATGAGCCTGGAGTCCAGAGGTAGAAGCTATCTTGCCTAAGTCCCACAGGGAACAAGTGACAGTGGGCCCTTGATTAAGTCTCTTAATTTCTTGGGGTGACACACATAACACATTAAAACTCCTATTCTTAGTCAATTCATCTTTACAAAGAGAATATTTACACTATCTGCCTCACAGGGTTGTGAGATAATTCAATGAAATAATAATGTTTATAAAGGACTAAGCAACTTTAGAGCTCTGTATAAATACGAGCCCTCATTATTATTATTATTTACAACCGTAATACTTATATTATTTAGGGCCAAGTAAGCAGTCCGGTTAGGGCAGCTAGGTGGTGCAGTGGATAGAGTGATGGGTCTGTAGTCAAACAAACAAACAAAAAAAGAAAAATTTCCTACATAAATCTTTTTCTGTTCTTCTTTGTACATGAAAATGTTCATTTATTGGTGTTTGTCAAGTTCAGCACAAAAAAAAAGAAAAAGAAAAATTACCTTTTAAAAATAGTAAGAACACTGCACTTATGGAGGTAAAAGCCCCAGTTCTATAGGATTACTAGTATGTATAGCTCTGTGACCGTGAGCAAATAATCCTCACAGGGATAATAATCATGACTGTGTATCTCAGAGGCTTTCATTACAGTGAAGAAAGGACTTTGTGAACATTCCATTACTCCAGCTGTCACTGATCTCCCCCTCCTTAGATCTCCTAAAGCATTTAGTCTGTACTACAAAATTTAGCAATTGTTCTGCAATGTTCAGACTTGTGAAAGTTGGCTGGGGCACTGAGGAGTTAAGTGACTTGCCCAAGATGTCACAACCAGTCTATATGGCTATTTTTCTCAACTAAGTTATAAGAATCTTGAATATAGTCATCCACAACATGTAGTAGAGAACTGATCACACATGATAAATGCTCAATAAATTATAAGGGATAGTTTGATGTCACCTAATCCTACCTGGTTTCCCTTAAAGGAGGTACACAGAGTCATTCTGTTTTCTTGCAAAAACCAAATAGCCTTCTTTTAAGAGAATCTCAAACTGAAAACAGCTACAAAACCCACGGAATTCAGGAGAAAAGGGGAGAAATGCCCTAGCGCCCTTTGCTCTTGATCTAAGGGCTACGTGCTCCTCTTTTTTTGGCTAATGAAATCTCAGCGGGTTGAATATTGTTTACTCCTACCCTTTACCCAACTGGAAGTGTTGGGAACCCATAAACAATACCCAGAAGGAAGCCATTGAAACCCAAAGTTCCGAGCATAGTTCCTTTAAAGGTAGACCTTTTCTTGGCTAAGGCTCCCACTCAGCCTGTTAACATTGTCAACTACCAAAGTAGTTTTGCCTTTTGGGAAAATTTGGCCTTATTCTCAAATTAAAGGCTCTTGTTTGCCTATTGGGAGCTAAAATCAGCTTGTGCTGGGCTTTCTGGAACTAAGGGAGGCCAGATTTCTGAACATAAAGAAGGAGCATGTGATTCTTGGGGCCAGAAGTCACTTGAATGTGGCACTTCTACTAACACTGTAGGCTGGGTTTCTACAGGTTTCTGGTATTCTTGGTGGAGGCAACTGGGGGCCAGGGGTAGGGTGGGTGGGAGAGGTTCCTCTTTCTCTGACACTGAGAGGCTCTGTGACTTTCTCGGGGTCACACAGGCAGCATGCACAGCCAGGATAAGAACTCCGGTGCTCTTGTCATGGAGACTGGATCCCTAACCACCACATTGTCCTGTTTCTCTCCAATGCTTTTTCTTTTTTTGTTTGTTTGTTTGTTTTGTTTTTTGGTGAGGCAATTAGGGTTAAGTGACTTGCCCAGGGTCACACAGCTAGTAAGCAACAAGTGTCTGGTCTGAGACTGGATTTGAACTCAGGTCCTCCTGACTCCAAGGTTGGTGCTTTATCCACTGTGCCACTTAGCTGCCCCATATTCTTTTTTTGTTTGTTTGTTTTTCCAATGCTTTTTCTACAATACCAAGTTGCCATCCAACCCATGAAGACACTAGATCTCCCCGGGGCAGCTAGGTGGTACAGTGGATAGAGCACTGGCCCAGGAGTCAACAGGACCTGAGTTCAAATCCAGCCTCACACCAAACACTTGACACTTACTAGCTGTGTGACCCTGGGCAAGTCACTTAACCCCAATTGCCTAAAAAAAAAAAAAAGACATTAGATCTCCTCCCAATCTATTCAAGAGAATTCCAACTCCCTAGCCAAATGCTTCCTCCTGACAAAAGATCTAAGCTTACTAAAGCCTCTGAGCTCTTCCAAAGAAAAAGGTGCTTGGAGAACTAACATTATTCAGGGCCTTACATAACTTTTCTTTCTCAAAGAGAAAAAAATCCCTACACATCTAGTCTAATCATAGTAACATTTGAAAGGAACCTGTCATAGTGACAGGATGTGACAAATCATGAGGTAGCACGTCAAACCTCTACTGGGATGTGGTAATGGCAATTCTTAAAAACCAAGTGTGTATGTGGCCCCAAGGCCCATGTCAAGTACAGAACACACTGAACCAAAAAGACTCCTTCTCACGTGTGTCCATTTGGTTAAGCAGATAGAAATCCCACGGCAGAAAGAATGAAAACAGGAAATGAAAGTGAAAGGGTGTGTGGGTGTATACATACACATATATGCATACACACACGTCTGACAGCTCTTTCTGCCCCCAAGACACAGAGAAACACACAGACATACACAGTCATACACCCACAAAACCTTGCCAAACCTTGGCCTTGAAATCTAACCCTAACTACAAGGTACACCTAAGTTTAAAAGAAAAATTGAAAGTCTCTCCAGACCACCCAAATCTCAGTGAGTTCCCAGAAAATTAAGTTTAAAAATAAGTACCACTCAGGCCTTTTTGAAAGGAAAGGAAGCTGAATTGTGAAATCCAACAGCAGGTGTCACAACTCCCAAAAGATAAAGTCCCTGACCTGGGGAGAGGGGCAAGAGCTCACTCCAGGTCTTTACCTTTTTATTGGGCAGCAATTCTTTTCTCTGGGCTCCTGGCACCTCTGCCAAGATGGGAAGATTTGAAAAGCAAGCATAATGAAGGTACCATAAGTTCTCCCATAGAGGGGTTTACAAAAATGAGTCAGTAATTCAGACTCAGACTTTTAGAGCTGGAAAGGAAGAACTGAAGTTCACAGAGGTTCCTATAAGCTAATCTTTGTTTCTAATTTTTAAAAATGAGCAATCTTTAGAATAAAGAATTCTGAGGGAATGAAAAGTTCCACTCAGAGAAGGAAATAACTTTCTTCAGAATATTTTACTAGCATGAAGTATCTTAAACCTGCTCCCCCCCCCCCAATACACACACACACACACACACACACACACACACACACACACTCTCTCTCTCTCTCTCTCTCTCTCTCTCTCTCTCTCTCTCTCTCTAAGGTGATAATGGAAGCAGAGAAAACTTCATGAGATTGCCAAGGGCACAAGAAGCAGGCCATGGGGTCAGGACTCCCAGGTATACTGGCTCACCTTGACTTAGGTTACCCACTAAGAAAGAAGGCTTAAAAAAGATGCAGTGTCAGACAGAGACAACCACCCTACAAAAGAGTACACACCAAAGGATAATGGGAGGTCTTTTTTAAGGCAACCAGGTTATCCAAGTTTTCAAATCCATCTCCGTAAGAGCACTACAAGTTTGACAGAAGCACAGAACTGAGAATGTACAACTGATGTGGCTACTTAGAAATCCTCTGGGATTT